AGTCATTTTTATAGACGAACAATGCTGGCATTTGGAACAAACCACTCTTTCTGGTTTTAAGACATTGTTTATAAAAAAAGGGTAGCCGGTCTCATAAGCTTTTAGCCATTTTGTGGAATTGAAAAAAGTCTTCCAAGAGTTAATTTTTGAAGTGTAGGCTTTTAAACTTGCCAAATAACAAATAGCTTGATTGAGATGATCCTTAAAAAACTTTTGCACAGAAGCTTCGTGCAATTTTCAAACTTTTTTTTCCCAAAATTAATCTCACAGCAAGGATCCACTAGACTGAAATTATTCAAGTTTATATTATTCAGTGTTTTTAAAACGATGTAGCTGTAATCAATATTTTTCAACTTCTGAAAAATGATGTAGGCGGACGTTTTTTTCGAAATAAGAATGACTAAAAATGAATGACTAAAAACGATGACAGATAAATGAGTTGTTTTAAGAAAACAAGTAACGGAAATATAGAGATGATTATATTCACCATAGCTAAGCAATTCTAACAACCTACGTTGGCTAACGAAAGTAAGAATTTTAAAATGTTATTCTGAGTTTGTACGTTTCGAAACTTCGAAAACTGAAATAAATCTGCCCATTGACGCAAGACAAGAACGTTTTTTTCGGCTTCAATTCGCATGAATTTCCTCTGTTCACGATGACCGTTCGAAGAAAAAAGCCACAGGGAACCTCTTCACTAATACATTTCTTTAATAAACCCTCAATAGTCGAGCAACTGTTTATTGAAACTGGTGCTTGACTTTGTCATATATATGTAAATCCGTGTAATCGATCATTCAGGTGCTTAATATCTCATACACTTTGACCAAGGATGATCTTCTTTGAACGATACCCAAGTATATCGCCCTCGTTTTCCTTAGAAACTTGGACCGTACAGGAGACTTAAACCTTCTTCGACTGAACTCGCTAATGTAATGCAGAAGGAGTACAATAGGACTTTACGGGGGTCAGTCATCATATAATTATAACGCCTTTGGCACCTGACCACAGACGACACTTTCAAGGAATTAATAATAACAATTTATAGTCCAAGACGCATGACTCCAGTCAATCCGTTGCATTAGGTTAAATTTTTTACCTAGTATTATTTTACGAGTCTAGCTTTTGGTACAAAGAGCCCAAACAGGGAGAAAGCAGTTCTTTTCTAATATTAATATTCATCTTGGCTTGAAACCAACAGTTTCTATCGTAACCATACCTACCAGACAGTAATAAAAGAAAACACGTTTGGCTCAATGACACTAAAGCTGGGCACCAAAGAACATTCAATCTTTGAGGGTATAAAGGGATATATTTAATGCATGCATAACTTGAGTTTGACTTTCATTCCATGATATAAATTGAATATCCACTCTTAACTTCTTTATTTCTGTGTGGCTGAAAAAAAACAAAAATGAAAAATACCGAGCTTTCAAATATGGATATAACAAACTTTTGGCGAAAAAACAGCACTCTATTTGAAATAAACAAGATCATTGTCCTTAATTTTAGTTTCCTACAAGGGTTTAGTTCTGTAGAAATTGTAGTTCCATCATTACCATAAATAGAGAAAAGTTCCAAATTATAAAAAGTCAATGCTGGCAGTTCCAAGCTCGACACAAATTGTGAAACTCGAAACGACAGGAAATTCCATAAAGTGATGAGAGAGGTATTAATGCAGTGACGAAGCCCGCTGTTTGGGTTCAATTTACGGTAAAGAAAAATAAAGTTTATGACAAAAATCTTCTTCATTTGAAATATTTAACTTGCCAAAAATTACAGTTGTTTTTTTCTGTACTTAGAAAGATTTCCTTTCACAGATTGTTTTGTGCTATCCCTCAACCTAGACCAATATGCAGCTCGTTTGAATTCCGTTCATATTATGACAAAAGTGATGATTTTGAACAAGAAGAACCTCGAAAAAATATGGAAGTTGATTTACATGGCTTCCCATCAGAAAGATAAGTCGGGAACCAAATGTTGGCCCACATGTCTCTTTAACCTTAGGTCTGCAACAATTTTATCTAACGGAGGAAAACCTGAAAATGTCTTATAATTTTAAAGTTCTTCCAATGAAGGCCTTGGAAGCTAGATCCGATACTGAATGGTTTGGATGAATCCAATCATAAATTACGGTACACTTTTTGCAAACATCAGTTTGCTATTATCTTTGAGATGAAAATGGCGGTTAAAACAACATACAGGGGTTCTTCTTCGACAATCTTTATTTCAGACATATTTCAAGATACAGTCTTAATAAAGAATTCATGTTTTTGGAAAATGAAAGCTAACTGTGCGAGCGTGTTTTTTTTTTTTTTTTGTTTGATAAGGTTACGCCAGCCTGTCTGCTCCTACACACCGATTACCATTATCTGCAGGATTTCGTGAGGGGGACTTTCGGTACATAAGATCTATTTTTATTACCTTATTTTTGTGAGAATTTTCTTTTCGTCAATTATTGACGCTTCAATTAAACTTGTAAGGAGTTTCCCCTGAGAATGAAACAAAAAAACAAAACAAAACAAAACAAAACAAACACACAGACGAAGAAACGTTGAATTTATGGATTGATCTTGAAAATTGGGAGTTCTCAGAAACTCAGGGGAACTTGGCTTTTTATGTGACTCTATGACATTATTCACCTAATGTTCTTAAGAATATTTTTATTAATGTTATGGAAATTTGTGTGGTAAAATCCCTTTTTCTAATCTGTTGATGAACACCGATAGAATCAAAGCCCATCAAAACCAAAGTGATAATTCGATAATTTGCATTTGCAAAACAAGAATGATTTTTCTCGGCTTAAATTTGCATGAATTCCCTCTGTTCACGATAATCTTTCGAAGAAAAGAGCCGCAGATGAGCTCTTCAGTAATACATTTCTTTAATAAACACTCAATAATCAAGCACCTGTTTATATATAGAAGAAAAGCAAAAAATTTACACTTTTTCACTTTAAGACCATCCCTGGTAAAAGTTTGTGAGATATTAAAGGCTCCCTAAAAGAGAATTTAAATTGTGTTCATTGCACTGATGACAAATACATCAAAAATGCAAACATTAATTGACTCCCTTCGTAGTAGAAATTTCACAGAGTGTTTGATGATTTGGTGCTCGTCTTTTATATCGATATGGTAGACACATCTAAAGACGCACGAGCTTCTTGAATTGCCAAATTCACGTGAAACACGAAATATTTTCCGTAAATGTTCCGTACCTCAGAAACCCCCAAACTCTCAAATAAAGGTATTTTTATGTTATTGTTTAATTGTAGAAAACGGCGAAGCAATTCACAAAATTTTTCATTACATTTAACGAATCATCGTTTTTCTCACCGACTGCCATGTTTGACTTACTTTTTTAACGCATTTGCCACCATAGTTTGCTGAGATCCGAGAATTCCGTTCACCGAGAATTCCAATTTTGCCAAGAGATCTGTTCTTCGAACTTTTTACTCGAAATTTATTTTTTTGCGACGGAAAAGTATGCCTTATAATCATATTCCAATTCGCCTATTTTAGAGCGAGAGCGCACAATGGTGTTTCCGGACTACTATTTCTTTGCTGAAAGATGTTTGGTAAACCATACTATTGAAAAGAAACTTGTCAATAACTTGGATGACTGTGAGCTAATGTGCTACCTGAACGATGACTGTGTCAGTCTTAACTTCAAAAAAGATCCAGAGGATAAGGAACCACTTCACATTTGTGAACTAAATAATGCCACTCATCTGAAATACGACAGTGACTTCACAACTGATGCCGATTTTTATTATCGTGGGTCGAAGGTGAGTTACAAATCGATTTTTCGAAATTATCGCCTTTGAATAATGTGATAACAATAATTAATGTTTATGCAAATTTTCGTGTGTTTGATCATTCAGTATTTCGTTTCTTCTTTCATTTTAATTTTTTTCTTCCTTAGAACGCTTGTGACAAGAGTCCCTACTGCAAAAATAACGCAACTTGCCAGTCTGGATTTACACTCAAGGGATATCGATGCTTTTGTCCTCCTGGATTCGAAGGAGAATATTGTGAAATGGTATGAGTCTAAGTCAATACTTGAAATGAACGTATATTAGATTTGAATAGGCGTGAATTTCTCTTATTGTATAAGGCGCTGAATTTCTTACCATATTTCATTGAGCGTGTGTAATGTATTCGCTCGCTCGTTTGTATATTTTCGTTTTGTTTGTATTTGTTTTTGTTTCGTTTGCTTAATTTTTTATTCTTTTATTTACCTTGAATGTTCGACGCCTTTCCATGGCAAAATAGGAGCAGTTCATATGTGTGTCGATTGCCTAATATAGTAACTGCAAGTAGAGTTCAGAAATAATAGCTTTATTGAAAAGTCTCACCAGAGAACTACTCAAAGCAGGAAGCTACAAATAAATTGAGGTTTTTGCCAATTGCTGAGTTCCTATGGCTCTTTGATAGAAACCAAAATGCTTATGTTTTTAGTTGGTGTTTTATTTTTTATTTTTTTTTCCTTCTTTCTTTCTAATTTTACGACAGATACTGATAAATGCGAAGTATTCATTGGCAAATGCCACATGGAGGCTACGTGTAATAATACACACGGATCATACGTGTGCATATGCAAATCTGGGTTTATCGGAGATGGGCATATTGTACAGGCAACCGTCAATAGTCTCAAAAGCCTTTAGATTCTTGTTGAATAGTGCAATGAGATTTTGTTTGTTTGGTTGTTTGTTGATGTTTATTTTGGTAACGTGGCAAGCCATGTTTTAATTGTTCAAAATAGGTGAGGCAGTTACCTGACTAAAAGTTATTAAGAGATAGGTTTTTGCATAGACAACTTTTTTTCATCAGGTACGACAATCTCGCGTTCTCGCAATCCAGCAAAAGGTTGAAAACAGTCATGGCTTGCACTCTTCAACACATTAATGGCTTATGCACGTCAGTTTTTGCATAATTCTGAAATCCCATTTTTTCATCTGTGATTTCATAGACATTGACGAGTGTAAAGGAAACCACTCTTGTCATAAGGATGCAAACTGCACCAACACCAATGGATCACATGTATGCGATTGTCAGCCTGGATATACTGGAAATGGACAAAATTGCACAGGTGAATTCAGAATAACAAGGAAATGCGGTCATAGATGACTTATTTTAGTTCGTTCTTTCTTTTGTTGTTTATATAACGTGTTTTGTGCTCCAGTAGCAAAACAAGAGCAGTTTATGGCGTATGCTTTAGATGATCTTTGCTGTACCAACGTGAAAAAAAAATTGCAAAGTAGCGCTTTGACTTACAGGTCCAACCCGAGAATCGCATGAAACCAAAAAGTTGCAAACAAGTATTCCACTTTTTTCATATACACGTACATGTATGACTTTTGAATAAAAACCAAATCTCATTTTCATTATTTTCTCTTTCTTCTCAATGTTTTTTTTTTGACAGATATTGACGAATGCCACACATACCCCGACAAATGTCACGTAAATGCTCTTTGTAAGAACACGCACGGATCACACGTTTGCACATGCAAACCTGGATATACTGGGGATGGACGCAACTGTACAGGTCCAGTCAATAATCTCAGAAGCCTGCATATTCGTTTTGACTATTATAATGAATTTTTGTTTGTTGTAGTTGTTTTTTTTAAAGCACGCAAGAAGTGGCTAGAGCACGAACGGAATGTAGGGAGAAACACTAGAGGTAGTCGAGAAGCATTTGCGTCTCTGCTCACGTTATGATAGCATAAATTAAGGCGCTTAGCATCTTTTGAAACCTTAATTTGGTTCTTCTGTTACTACTTCGCTCATTCCGAAATTTCACTTTTAATTAGTAAAAAAAAAAAAAAAAAAGATAGAGGGAAGTTCGAGAAATGGTCAGAAAAAGTATAATTTGGAAAATTGCGTGACAGTCTTAGCTCAGCCTTATGTTTTCAGTACTCTGATAGAGCGCGCTTTTTCGACCGATAACAGCACGTGTTATATCCGAACTTTATCATAAGTAGTATTGGATTATTTGTATTACCCCGCCTTAAATCATGTTAAAAATTCCTTCATCGTTGATGCTTTTTGTGTCTTTCTGCCTTTGGATGGGCGTTTCAACAATAATAGACGACGGCGTGAAACATTCTTTTGAGTAACACTCTTTGTAGCTTGATTTTGACGTAATGTGTATGTTCTCTTTCAGACATCGACGAATGCAGTGAAGCTCATACCGTGAAAATGAACAAATGCCATCCGAATGCCTCTTGCACTAATACTCAGGGCTCATACAAATGTTCCTGTAATCCTAAATATATCGGGAATGGTTTAAAGTGTGAAGGTACTTTCGGTATCTACCGTGCAATTAAATTAGTTAAGGTGGCTATAGGTTGGACTCGATCTAAATCTTTCCTACTCAGGTGGCCATTAACGACCATATTGCTGCTTAGTTGTTTGTAAACTACGTTAGCTGCGCCTTAAGTTTGCTGAAGACTGTCTTTTAATGCGTTATTAAAGAAAGAGGAAACACAAATTCAGATACTGCTTTTCGTAGTTAGTGAATTTCATTTCTCATATTTATTTCTTAGCCTCATGGTCTGAAAATGTCCAACACAAGTATTACTTCACCTCTTTTTTAATGTTGTTATCATTTCTTATAAGTCCTGTTGTAATAATTATTTCATTTTATAGCCGATCCTTGCTATCATTATAAAAACCTGAGTGATGCCAATAGAAAGATAAGTTACGTAACGCTTTACGGTTCAGAGGTGTGTGACAACCAACTCTCTGCGGGATGGTATCGTCTTGTGGGAGCTGCGGGAACAAAAATGCCAACAACGCGTGTGCCAGCATACAGATGTAATACAGAATGGTCAGGCTGGTTGATGACTGCTCATCCTACAGTGGAAGATGGTATAGTTAAAAGGGAGGTCTGCTTTAGTGGTCGCCATGCTGGTTGCAAATACTCAAACAATATTTCTGTTAAAAACTGTGGATCCTACTTCATCTACAAACTTCAACAGCCACCTACTTGTAACTCGCGCTACTGTGGTACAGACTGAATGTGAAGAAAAAATTTTAAGAAATAAGAGAACCCATAAATTGATCCTCAGGTGCACGTAGTTTAAGAATTTTTTCGAAGTCCTCTTTCTATGATGATCATTAATTTCTTCTATAAATTTTGTACATTGATGATGTCCCTTTAACGTGTAATCAAAAATACTTTGAATTTCACATTTTACAAGGATCTCTTTCATGATTATAATCACAAATAGTTAATTTCTGCTAAAAGAACTACTGGTGAACACAAAGAAAAGTATAGAAAGGAAAATGCTTAGATAGTGAAATCCTAGACAAGCAGGAATTAGCATGATAACTGTCAAAATATGACGAAACACGTTTCTCTAAACGTTAGAAGCTGCTATACAGGACGCAATATATCGCACAGTATGATAATTTAGCTTCAGTTTGTATAGGCAATCACTTGATTTCGAGTGCAATTTGGAATAAATAAGCACGACGCTGAGTAAATTTTTTCAAAGACTAACAAATTTACAAGTGCTTATTTCTTCCAAATAGCGCGAGAAAAATCATGTGATTACTTATCAATGATATACACGAAAAAAATACGATATAGCTTATCATAACTATACAGAAGCAAAGCACGTACATCAAGTGCAGAAATAATTCATTCAAACCGTGCGTTCTGTCAAAACAGTCATGTACGATCAAAGCAATAATATACAAAGATATTTCACATCTTTAAGCACGAAAAAGTCGAAAACCGGCTAAACAATTCAAGGAATTGTTCTGTCTCGTTTGTTACTTCTTTGCACTGAATTAACTCTCTTCTGCATTGAGTAACCTAAAAACTGTTTTTATCTTAGCCAATCAGACCTGAGTAATTTTAAAAATTAGATGCCGCTTTAGTTAGTGCTAATGGTGTGTTCAGTCTGATAGTTGCTTTAAAAAGAAAGCAATACGATTATGTAAGGACAAGTGTGTGTTAATACTATCTAGTGTGAGGTGGTAAGGTATGGTATTAAGGTTTAACTGTTTTCATCGCAATTTCACTTTAAAATGAAAAAAAAAGTTTCCAGGTGGAAGAATTTTGAAAGAAATCTACCCTTGTTTCAATCCTCTGAAACCATTAATCATGGCTTAGAGAAGAAATCCCAAATGCTAGTGTTAAGTACTTTGCGTCTAGGTTAGGGTAAGGAAGTTAAAAGTTTGAAAAAAAAATAGTTAAGAGTTAAAAGTTGCACACGATTCCTCAGTCAAGTATTTTAAACGCATAGCAAATGAGATAAACACTTATAAACAGCATTTACTTATAACCCCCAAAAAAAAAAAAAAAAAAAAAAAGTTAACGTAAATCATAGATGGTCTAACAGGAGGAAACTAAGATTGGTTCAATAATTTTGTAGGTCACCTTTTTTGGCTGTGTAAATAGAGCAGAATAGTAAAATCAATCATCATGGCCCGGTTGTTCAAAACTGCGATTAGCGCTAATCCACGATTAAATAGGCTAATTGCCGATTAAATTTAAGTCGCCGATTAGTTTTTGTTGTTCAAAGCCCGATTATTCCTAACCTTCGATCAAACCAAGGGTTAAATCTAACCCTGCTCGCTAGGTGGATTAAATCCTTAATCGGCAGATTAAAAATAAAAATCACAACATGGCTGACTTGTTGTATGGTTGTGTTGGTGTTGATGGGCGAAGAAAAAGGAAGCAAAGAGAGTTTAGGAGCATCGGTTTCACGATAGATGGATATACAGACGAAGAATTAAGAGCAAGGCAGACTTTTCGGGCGCCATTTGTTTTTTTGTTTACATGGGAGTACATGTAAAAGAAAATAAGAAAGAAACAAAAGTCTAAAGTCCGTTAATTTTCACTTTGCTTTGTGTTTGTTAGCGAAGTATACATTTTATGCAAGGTATGGACATTGAGAGGTATTACAATAATGTTTCCATTTATAAACTTACCTGTTTCAAACCCCTGTAACCCAGTAAATGACGGTGTGTCACTGAACATGTTTATTATTTTTAAACTGGCTTCTGATGGGTTCGGGGAAGCAGGGCCACCACCTGTCTTCTTCTGTTCACTTTTAAAGGAACTGAATTCTCTTTTTTGCGTGACTCTGGAGGTTTTTCCACTTGTCTCGTACTTCCTGCGTTGATCTTGCTGTCACACCGCCTCCGAGATTTCTTCCCAAATCTTGTTTTTTTTTGCATTTGTTATACTGTTGGTAAATTTACTTTGAAGAATGTCCATATTTTCTTCAAATTTTTCCGTTAAAACGGAAATTTCAGCGGGTGAAAAGTTTGCTTTCCGCACTTTCTTCGCTGGAGAAGCCATATTGGCAAAAATAAATTTCCGGCAATTTTATGACGTTAACTGGCACAAAATAAATTATAATTAATTAATATAATTCATTTTATGCTTAATCGCGGATTAGTAAATCGACCGAGTAATCTCCCTTTGAACAACCGTTTTTTAACCAACGATTAACTAACCCACGATTAAGAAATTTAATCGCCGATTAGGCCTAATCGGTGATTAGTTTAATCGCGGTTTTGAACAACCGGGCCCATGTTATAAAGAAATTGTGTAACTCTTGATAAATACATTTATCTTACCTGGAGCAGATTCAACTGGGTTTCGTGAAGTGAACATTAAATTAAATGCAACATATATGATTCAGTAGAGATCTTATAGCCGAAGAAGACAATTATGAAATTTCCAGCACAGCCGGGTACAGTGACTTGAAAAGCCTGAAAACGGATCAGTTCGCTGTGAATGTTTTATAACCAGTCCACTATTGATATATAAGGTCGATATACTTCACTGTTGACATTCGTGAGTGATACTGGCTATCATAATCATGAACTAAAGATAATAGAGGTATAGGAATAAGTCATGACTTTTGACCGCTCAACTGAAAACTGTTCACCAGCTTGAATTACATGTAGTGCGTACAACTTGCGAGGTAAGAATTGGTCAATAAAACTTTACGTACTTCTTAATTTATTTGCGAGGCAATTCTCATGACGCAAGCAATGCTAGTGTGCAATTGTTGTTAATCACTTAATGTTACCTATATCAGTTTCTGATAGTAGTGAGGGGTTACCAATGTAATTGACGGAAACGGAGGAGAGGAGGAAGGAATTCGCAATGATAAAAAAACAAAAACAAAAACAAACAAAAAAACCGGAAAGGCCCATTGCTCTTTTTAGGAGTGTTAATAATTATGGTTGTAACTAGAAATCTTCCGTATCCAACCCTTTTCCCTCAGGTTGCTGCAAAAACAAAAAACGTGAAATCGCTCATTTTTCTAATATACGCATCAAATGAAATAAATGCTTTGCTCACGCTCGATACCGATTTTATTCTTCACAGCGAAACGTGACGTTCATTGGTGGGCGTCTAAACTTCCTGCTGGTAAACAAATGAGTTGTACACGGTTCCAGATGTTGATTAGGTACATTTGATTGCAAAATCTGGAAAATATTGCACTGAAAATATCAAGCGTTAAAGGATTGATCACGGGAATAAATATTTGAAGCGTGGTCACGCCGTGACTATGCCTGTAATGTAGCGTGATCACATAGGAAAATAATAGATGTGGCTTCGCCTCTTATAGGAAGCAGTAGCCACATAAATTGTGATTAGGAATCATGAGTGGAAAGCGCGATCAAAGACCGGTAATTAGGTGTGATCATGGCCTGGGAAGCCTGTGATGAGAACGTGATCACAAAAAAAAAAATTGTGGCTTCGCCTCCTATTGAATGCAGAAGCCACATAAATTGTGATTAGAAATCACGAGTGGAAAACGTGATCACTGACTGTTAATTAGATGTGGTCACGGCCTGGGAAGCCTGTGATGACAGCGTGTTCACACAGGAAATAACATGTGTGGCCTTGCCTCCTACAGGAGGCAGGAGCCACACAAATTGTGACTAGAAATCATGAGTGGAAAGTGTGATCACAGACTGGTATGTAGATGTGATCACGGCCTGTGAAACCGCACGATACGAAGATTAGACATGGTTTGATGCTACTCTGGTTTGCAGATTTAATGAATGTCACCGAAGAAGTTACAATTCATAGACCCAACGTTTCGACACCCCTGTCTAATGCCTTCATCATGGGAGATCTAAACGCTGCAACAAGAGGTCCATTTATATGAACAATCATTAGCTACCTTTTTTTCTGACGAGGTGTAAATAGGTTTAACTTGTTCAAGGTTTCGGCGATCTCTGAAACTTCAGCGGTCATCTGGCATTTCTCAGGTGCTCTTTCCTTATACACACTAAGCATCTTTCTACATTTTACGCAAATTCCTTTAGAAAAAACATAGTCAAACTCCCGTCAAAACTCCGAAATTACCGAAAGGCGCGTATTTTTTAAACACAAAAGTCTGAAGTTTTGTCGACCCACAGAATAAAATAACAATCGAAAGTTGACTGCGCGATAAGAGGTGAGAAGAAGCGGGGTGAGTAGCATTGTGATTAGACTATCCTTTCTTTTTGTTTATTGTTTATATCTTTCTCAAGCGGCTTTTTGCGAAACGAAATTGAAATGTTTTAAACAAAGTAAGTTAACCCCTACTAACCGAATTCCAGGTGCCTACTGTAAGTTACAGACCGTGAAACGAGGTTAGTAAGATATTCATTATGTCTCTGAGGTCAATCGGGCGCGCGGGAATGTAAACTAGTTAAAGTTTAGTGGGCCGCGCAAAATTGACCAATCACACCCCGCATACGAACTGAGAGATACTAATAAAAAATAGGAATTCATTGTATACATGTGGGTAGTGCTGTGCACGCGCTGCGGAGCTGTTTGTTTACGGACACCGGCACTCACTCACGCACTCACTCACTCACTCACATACCTGGCGACAAGGTGGGTAGGGCACTATACAGTGCACACACTAATATAAGCGCAATCCATAAAAAAACGAGAGGCATGAAATAAAGGTTGTTATAAAAAAATTGGATTGGACAACTGAATGAAGAGATAAGTAACGAAATGTCCTTCATCAACCTTACTTATTTCTCT